ATGCGCGTTTCCTGTATCAAAGGTTTTTCGGTCCTCTCTCGGAAGCGCTTGCCATTTTTGAATCTCGACGCGCCTGTTGGCTTTTCCGTCGCTGTCATGTATACACGTATACGTGTATCATTATACTTTCACGCGTCCCAATCAGTTTTGTGGAATTCGTGTGAATAAAAAAACCTCAAAAGTCAATACACCCGATGGAAACTCATACATGGTTAATTAACAAGCACACCACGAGTGACCATTACTGCGAAGCGGAGCAAATAACGCATTTACTTACGTTGCTGTAATCGGCTTCCGCAAACTTGGAGAAAAAAAAAAATAACGCATTGATCCAAGAATTTATCAGCACCTATGCACATACGTACTTATGCGCGATGAATAAAGAAAAAAAAAAAAAAAAAAAGGACCAACAATCCGGCTGAGTGCAGCTGTTTCCATCGTCACCGCATATAAATATATATACAGTGCGGTGCTCCGAGTCTTTCCACTCTTTTGTCTCGTTTCGTCCCTCTCTTTTCCCACACCTCCCACAGTAGCGCTTTCCACTCGGATCTCCTCGGCTGATTGACGTTCGCGAGCAGCACTACGAAAAAAGGACGGGATGTACGCAACACCCCAGGGAAGAATCATGATAATTAACACCCCTTGCGAATTACATTGACTGCGAAAATGGGTTGATTAGACGGATGAAAAATCGAGACGCGATTCGGGTATATAATGCAGGGACGCGTCTGGGGAAGTATAGTCTCCTCCCCCCGCTGGTGCCGATATGCGGCAGCTGCGAAATGTTCAAATGGAGCGTGAAAAAATTGCTCGTCGAGCGGGTTCATTAAATTACACACCGTGTGCGCTCTAGGAAACAAAAAAAAAAAAAGTGCGTAATCGAGCGTCGATAATTGAATTAATCAATACCCGAGCACAGCGTGGTCGACGCTAAAATAATTCATGAACCCGCGACGGGTGGAGGAAAAATTCAGTGGACTCGTACAAGTAAACCACGTACATAATTGAACCAGCGACGGTCTCGTGCCGTTTGCCGATAGTAATCATTATCCAGTGGCGCCTCTCTCCAGCGTGACCTCTCGACTTTTCTTTACTTTCAACCCCGCCGGACGAAACCAAAAAAACATCCCCTTGATCAACCACCATAGAAGTAGAAACCAATAACTCCTCACCCCCCCCTTCCCCGACGCACTCGATTGCAGACGAAATCTCTCTCTGTCTCGTCGAGTGACGAGTTGTCGTCTTCCCCGTGCCTCTTTTGTCAACATCCCGCACTCGGCGGCGACAGTAACGAGTAAGTACACATGTATACAGTAGCAATCGGGCGTTAAGCCTCTTGACTCTCTCTCTCACCCACCCCCCCCCGTCGAAGTGCATCATTTGGATGTGGCGTTTCGATCGAAATGTCGATACGTACGAGTACAAATGTATACACACGCCGACACGCGTGCATGCAGGTAACTCCGAGTTTGTGTGAGGGTGCACATACGTATACGCGGGCGTGCTAATTGGAAGTGCCGCAGAGCGGTATATATACACACGAGCCCGCCTCTGGGGGTTCTTCGATACATCGTGTGTATATTTATATATACCTATAAGAGCCCGGGCGCGCGTCTCTTTAATTAATGCACCGTTTCGTCTTTGCAGACTCGAAGAAGCTCCCTGGCTATGCTTGTTTTGTACTGGCGCAGACGAGTTTTTTTTTTTTTTTTTTTTTTTTTTCGTAATAAAAGGTAAAACTACATGTAAGCACTGATTTTTTTATTGGCACTAATACTTAATTATACTCGGAGGAATGTTTACTGCGGGTAAATTAAGTGCACGGATGAAGTCAGTCAGTCAGTCTAGTGACTGTCTTCCTGCTTCCGCGAATGTCGCGCAGCTAAAGTGTCAATCACTCGGGATTTTTTTTCTGCTTACGTTGTATGTAATTGTCTTCGGAAATTATTGCAATTAGCAAAAAAAGTTATAAAAAAACGAGGAAAAATTTGAAGGATTGTTTTCGGGGAATCAAAAGGCGACACTACGCGGATGCGTGTGATCTTCATCCACGCGAATTTCGCGAGGTGACATTTTCTTCTTTGGTCTTTCTACTCTTTACTCTTGATGCCTAAAATCAAAGAGTATTTAATGCAAGACAACAAATTTCCAGCAAAACGTTTTCGCGATTTTCATTCCTTCTTAGTTATCAATGCCAATTGGTAATTTTGTTTACTCGGTGCAAAGTTTAGCGAATCTCAATCGATGGAAAAATACATGACTAAACAATGACTAACGGAGCAGTGCAAATATAACGACACAATCGGAAAATAGTGATATGTTTTACCAAAAGCACTGAAGCGTAGTTTTTTCACAAGTGGTTTAGCCATGAAAAATCGGAAAACTTTTAAAAGCAACTCGTTGTTGAAACAAAGTTGCCGCAATTGTGTATACTCAAGACAGCGCACTAACGAGGCGGGCCCGAGGACTATTGTATCCTTTGAAAAGAAGGTCCCATTCGATTTAGCTGATCAAAGTAGCAGCAACAGGTATGTATACCTAAACAACATATAGCTTCAAACTGCAAAGGCAACCATAGAAACGTTCAAACATCCCAAGAAGGTAATATGTACATGTATACACGACGACTGCGGCTAAAAAGTGAAAGGTAAATGAGCTACGTTCGGGAATTTCGACTGAATGATCGGGACGCTGGTAGTGATTTCGTAATGAAACGAGCACAGTGTGCTGTATGTAGTCAAGTACACACATAATATTATTCTATGACTTTTATGGGTATACGCGATGACAAGGAAGGCCGGCACTCTTCCTTGGACGGACGATGGATAGGTACGACTCACTCATTTTTGCCATCACTCGACTGTGTGTATATGAATTTCAATGTGCTCGAACGTTCGGATATGCACCGGGCGTACATCGACCACTTGTGTGTGTGTATTGTAATCAATGAAATCGATAGGATCGATACAATACATTAAGCGTATGAGCTATTATTAGATTCACGAACGTACGAATATAATTTATTTTCAAACTCTCGGTGAGTGTGTCCAAATCAATTGAATGACACGAAATCGGTAATCGCCAAGGCGCCCGTCAACAATAATCTCTTGTATGTATAATATATACACGCGACTCTCTTGCAAAAAAAACTTAACGAAAACGCCGAGCTCGAGTCCACACGCAATAAACAATCAATATCATTGTGTAATGTACCTAATGTAAGTGGAGCACGCGGCAGCCGGACGATTTGTATAAATATACCGCAAAACGATTTCGAGATACCGGTCTGCCGATGTAATTCCTTGCCGGTCATTCTAAATATATATGTATGTATAGATGAATGGGTATACACATCGGGTAACAACCGAAGAGTGACAATGCCTCCGTCATTGAAAGACATAGATACTTACTCTCTATTGGCTCGCATAACTCGAGCGTCGCGTATATAATATATATATATATATATATATATATACCTATGTACGTACTTACCGCGGGGCACACACTCTCGCGGACTTTCTCCGGCCGGCGTAAGGGAAGTATATAGGTATAGGTGAGGTATACAACGCACACGATGCTCCTTATGCAACGGAGCTCTGACATAACCTTCGCCACGCCGTATAGTTATTTTCGTACGTATATACGTGTATACTTACCGGCTCGAGGCTCTCTCGCGCGCTTACGCCACTTTTTCTCTCGCTCTACCGACTCTCTAACGGAGCGTATATTATATACATGTATATATGCGCGCACAAAATGTGCCTGTCACGCGCGAGAACACTTTTTCGCCACGTGCTCTGGGTCCTCATGGGTCACTTGGAACATGCTTTTCACTCGTTTGGATCTACTAATTAGCTTCTTTTTTTCTTTTTTTTTTTTTTTTTTTTTTTTTTTTTTTTTTTTTTTTTATATATAGATAAAACGAAAAGTCAAATTTTCAGGATTGACACTTGCACTTGACGCGCGAATGAAGGTTGTTGCGTCCAATTTAAGTTCATGACGAATTCAATCTTTTTTGATGAATGGACATGTCCCAACAGACGCATAGTCAAAAGAAACGTAATAAATCGTCTTTTCGTTATCGCGAAAAGGCGACACAAGTTTTATACTAAAAATAATTACTTTTCTTTTGAAAGACAAAAAAATCGTTTCAAAACAGAAAAATTCGTGGATGCGTCGGAATCTCTGGAGTTGTTAAGATGTGTCACGCAGACCGTAATTATATTAATCATTATTGTTAACCAACGTAATTTTTCCCTGGTAATTATTTCCAATCAGAACTTTGGACACTTACAATGGCTCTGTGATGTTTTAACGCATTGTAACTCTTGACTCTGAGCTGAACAACAACGTTTATTCATTGTCAATATACAACCACACTTTCCTACCGTTATTGTATTTCTCTGGATGGAAAGCAAGTTGAGTGTGGTTTTTAATTTTCGTTTCCTCTACATATGTTACTCGTGGTTTTTCCGACGTACAATCACCTACACATGTGTAAATGTAGACGTACAAAGTACACTTACGTGTTTGCCGTAGACGGGGCTGATGAAGAAGACGACGAGCTCGAAGACGCCAAAGACGAGTCCGTACTCTGTGGCGGTGGCACCTTTTTTCTCCGCCTGTTAGCGCCAACGATTATCGAGAGACGAAATGAAACGAAAAAAAAAAGAAAAAGGAAACGTGAAACAAGGTCATGCGTGGCTGAAATTCAGAAAAAAAGAGCCGGAATTCGCGGCCCAGTTTTTTTTTTTTTGTTCCCAAACGCTCTCAAGGCTCTCGAGAGATTCGGGAGCTGTACGCGGTTTTATCGCCGAAGCGAAACACCCTCGGAGCGGCACAGCCGTAAGTTTATCGTCTGCGTTATTTATTCAATTATCTGCTCGGGCAGATTGTCGATTGCACTACACTCGAGTGAGGGTCGTGTAGTTTTATCGCCTAGCATTACGAGAAAAAAAGTGTGACCGAAGAAATTTTTGCAAATCCATTACATACCGATGATGTTTAAATCGCGTATTATATATTTTTTGCGGCGTGCATTTACGTGGTAAATGCGATTCTTTTGTTCTTATCGCACCCTCTCGCGTGTCTGTGTGTGCAATTGTACTTGCTCGCCGTTAGTTCAAAAGATAATGGGGTACGAGCACTCGTTCGTTCAAAGTAAACAAACGCGCGTCTCGATAAAATACGGGTTAGATAGAAATCTCTCGGTTATTCATGTGCATCATTACGCGTTCGTTACACTCGCTCGTTTGGCTAATTGAATGTCTGGCCGATTTTTTTTAAACTGCGTCGAATTAGTTGATCCATCGACAATTTTTATCTTATTGCTCGCGATTGGGCATCAATATTTTTTTCATTTTCATACTCGACTGTTATTGATTGCAATGTAAAANGTGCACTCGGATGAATTAAAAGCGCAAAACGCGAGAAAGAAATTGAATCGCAATTATCGCGCGATATACGCCTCGTTCGGTATAATTCGAAGCTTCTCTCCCGTATACAGCTACACCGGCAACTTTCATTTCCAACTTATCCAATTATTTGACGCAAGCGGTACAAGTGCACTCGAAGGCGCATCGAGTTCGAGAGCCAATTTTCTTTTCGAATCGATGCCAATGGGGGATGTTTTATACATATGCTTTTTCTCCCTTCCCACTAACTCGCGCTGCAAAGCATGTTTTTCTTCGGGTAAAGGTGTCCGTGTTATTTTTCCTCCGATTAGATCTACCATGTACAGCCAAAGTGACGAATCGTCCTTTATCGGCTAATCCCCTCCCGACCTCCCGTCGCTCGCTCCATTGGCTAAGCGTATCAATCAATGATATCGCGATGCGGCTAATTTCAACACCTCCGGGCTCTTTCGTTTCTCTCGAGCTTGTTGTCCGGCGCTCAATATTTCGTTTGGACGACGAATTTTCTTTTCTTTTTTTTTTTTTTTTTTTTTTTTTTTTTTTTTTTTTTCTTTCGCTCGGTTGGCCACACGACTTTATATACGTACAGCATTTCCCAGCCGAAAACATGTTGATCGATCGGTATTTCGGAAACTATACAAGTCGATCGGACTCGGAGTCGCTACGAGGACAAATTGTACGGTCCCGCGAGAGTGGGTGTACAACCATTGAATCGTAAACAAAAAAATAATTATTATTCCCAACCCACTGCCGGTCGGAAGAGTTTTCCATACCGATCTGTCGCTACGGTTGTCACAGCGATGCGTCGCGTTTCGTGGGCGAAGGATGTTTTCAATCGGTTTGGAGGTCGATACACCGAAGCCTCGGCGTTGCGTCCAGTCGAGGGAAATATCAAAAACGTGAATGAAAACGCCCGACCTCGGTATATTATAATGACGCGTAGCTTTTGTTGGACCGACAGAGTTATAATTCGTCGCCCGCAGGCAGGTAAAAAAAAAACATTTCCAAGGCGCGCGCGTTGTAGTGAAACGAGCAAGTGTGATAGAGATACGGTAGTCCATAAATCGCTTTCACTGGGCCATTTACACCCGGGAGGGTTCAAGGATACCGTGTTGGCTAATGGGCTATTTTTTTTTTTTTTTTTTCAAATGCTTTTGACACTCTGGCCAAAGGTATATTTGCATAAAAATTAAACGCAGCTACGGTCTTGCGCGATGTTCTTGGGAGTGAAAAAAAAAAAAAAAAAAAAAAAAAAAAAAACGGAGCAAACGAATGGTCGCATGGGCAGGTACTTACAATTATTATATGCTTGTCGAGAAAAACGAGAAGACGCGGATAAGCGAGGGGGGAATGAGATAGGACACGAGACGCGAAAAACTCGTCCTTAAGAGCGAAGGGGACTCGTTTGACCGGCAAGTAAGGCGAGCAGGTACACAAGTTGAGTACAAAGGAAACAAAGAGAGCGAAAGTGTCCGATCTTTTCTGCGGTCCTGCGTGCGTTACCCATCTCTAATTACGTAGGTAGTCTCGTAAAAATTGAGCACCCAAATGCCGAGATATACGTTGTGGATGGTAAGATTGATTTATCGAAAAAAAAAAAAAAAAAAAAAAAAAAAAAAAAAAAAAAAAAAAAAAAAAAANTCTAAGTTTTTTTTTTTTTTTTTTTTTTAATTTCCAACTATTTTATCACTGAGTTCTGGAGAGAAAAAAATGCTTATTTTGACTCTGCAAATTCGAGTGTTGCACAAGTGTGTTTGTTGGAAGAATGTTGTGGACCTTCGAACACAAGTAAAATCGGTTCTTCGCCCCTGATATTATCAACGACGAAATGAGCCGATGAAACAGTTTTCTTCTGTACAAAATCAAACTTGTTTTTGATATTGCCCAAAAAGTCGTTTATACAGATTATTTACCTTTTTGATTTAAAATCCCACAAATCGTTCTATTGAATAAATTGTGTTATTTTTTACAGAAGGTAATATATCCCGACAATCGACACTCGAGGAAACGAGGGTGATGTAAGTATGGCACAAATAAAAATTCAGCTCCATTGACGATTGCATCAATGTCTTTTTTCCGAAATCCAGCCAGTCTCGTTGAATCGCCGATGCAGCAAGCAAAAGACCGATCAATGCCCGTATTTCTCTCGCTCGGCACTTTGATTACACTTTTATCATCGCGGGCGGATAAGCCCGTCTCCCGTACAAACGTACAAAGGGGAAAAAAGCCACCGAACAATGTCACCCAAAAAATGGCAAATGTCAAAGGGGGAGGAAAAAAAAAGGAAAAGAGAAAGCGGGGGATTTACCTCCTTGGGGTAGAAAGGCGCCTGGAGGGAGACGCAGATGGCGTTGGCGAAATCAGCGATGCTGATGACGACGAGCGTGAGCCACTGCCTCTTGGTGAACTGGCCCATCATGTCCGTTCCGTTTCGTAAGGGCTCCTACTGGCTACTGTCGTGTCTCACCCACTCGTCCCTCTACGCCGCGCTGGGCATGGGCGCAGCAGTATATTATACACGCGGACAAGACACGGGAGCGTTTACCGTACTGCACCGAGCCAACAACTGATGCGAGAGAAGGCCCCGTCGTCGCCACCACCACCACCTACGTCGACTCGGGAATTGTGTAAATTATGCGCGCGAACATCATCCAAGTGCCCGACTCGTGTGTCAAAGTTCACGATAGCTGATAAGTGACAGTGCGCGCGCCCACTTTTGCACCACCGCTCTATACGTATATTTATAGCACACTTATAGCTTGCCCTCTGCGTGATGTATACACATGTATATTTGTGCGTATATATGTGAACAAAGTATCTACATCTCGTTTACCGAGTGTGTCTCTTTTCTTCTTTGCGCGAGAGTTTCCTCCCTTTCTGAATCAATCACTGCGCATTGGCGGCTCGAGGTACTTCCTTATTGTCTCTCGGATAACAAAAGTCTCGTGGCGCATCTAATGATAACAATTTCTGTGCAATACATTTTACGGTTATTTAGATCTCACTCACGATTGTGTGAATCTGCGTGTGTGTTTTTTTTTAGTTAATTTAGCTCGAGTGATTACAACTCGTCGATGAGTTATAATTTATTGTTTAATAGTATCCGCGATGAAAAATAAAGAAAAAGTGCTATGTATATGTATATATATATATATATATATATATTTATATTTCTAGTGCACGTTTATTTTCATAAAAACTATTTACAATTCACATGTACTTTCACGCCATGAGATATTGATTGCACGCTGAACAATATGGATACAATGCTGCCGCGTGACGATAACGCGCTTACTTTGTAAACGCCTGGTGGATAATAATATTCGAGTACAACAAAAAGGAAAAAAATAAAATTAAACTGTAGTACGTCCATCATCTTGACGTATTATAGGAGATAAATACCTACACTCTGTATATAAAAAATTACTACTAATTATTCTAGTTATAAATGTACTTGTTATCGTTTTCTTTCAAATTATTATAATTATTATAACAATACATACATTATACGTAACAGTAGGTAACAAAAAAATATATATATATATAATACATATTATATTGTAGATGCGTAAGCGTATGAGTATATGCATATATACGTACTTTGATGATAGTGAATGAATCGCGATTAAAGTTTACAAACGTCAAAACATTGATAGTGTCGTACATATAACTCTTTTCGCGTACAAGCATGTATAAATATCTCGGTCGATGTGATGAAATTTCATTACAGTCGTGAGTTATTGCTATAGAAAAAAAAAAAAAAAAAAAAAAAAAAAAAAAAAAAAAAAAAAAAAAAAAAAAAAAAA